CCGGAGTCGGAGCCCTGCGGCGAGGGAGGGGGACTAAGTCAGGCAGACCAACAAGACCTGTGGGGGATGAGAGAGAGAAGAAAAAAAACAAGCCGCGAAGGAAGAACGAGGCTGTTGCTGGTGCTGGGTGGGATCGATGCCTCTGGGGGAGGGCCATGCGTGCGTGTGCATCATGTGTGCGCGCCTGCCCCATCGGCCCACCACTTGGTTATATAGCCCGAAGACGGAAGAAAAGAAAACAGCCGGCGCGGTCTCTGATCGACACGTCCCGAGACGAGCAGCGCCGGCGTCGTACCCTGATACCCACGAGGTAAGATGGCTGCGGCTACTCCAGTCACTACAACATCTTTGGACGCATCAAGCTGACATGCTCTGTTTTTATTCTAGCGGGCAAGCAGCCCAGATATGTTACATGTGCCGTTGCTCTTTTAAATCTGGCAGCGCCGTCGCGGCGTGGCCCAATGACCGACTTTTTTCTTCTTCTCCTTTTCTAGGCACTCGAACCCATCGGCTATACTGGGAGCGGGTCAAGGCTCTTGCAGCTACCAAGCAGCCGCAACGGCTCTCGCGAGCTTGGGACTGATGGGCGTCGTCGTCTCGCTCAAGGCTTCCGGAGCTGGGATTTCGGCGCCCAAATGTCTTCTTTCTTCCCATAGGATCTGGATAGTGAGTGGTATGGTGGTCGGTTCGGAAAGTTGACCGACGGACAGCGGATACATGCTACAAGCCAGGGCGGCTGCCATGGATTACGGATGCGCAGCACGATTGCAAAGCCCTCACACATCATGAACGTCCGGTTTGAAAGCCTCGAATTCCCTGGTCCTGTGTTGCCGTCGAACCGAGTCGCCATTTTTCCAGGCGGAAAAGAAAAAAACCAACGCAAAAGCACCAGACCTATCCTATTATACCCTAGAAACATTTTCTGTATGACCCCTACAGCCCCGTGCGTGGCCCTCCCACTTCCAACCCTCGAGCCCAAGGAAATCGTGATTATCCTGATGCAAGGATTGGAGGTGGCATGGAGAGAGAAAAGAAGAAATGACGCGAAAACAATACACAGTTAGTAACAATAAGATCTATGATAATGCGGATTTAGGATATGTGCCATGCGTAGGTGGATGGATACGTGGAAAAGATAAGAGAGGAAAAAATATGTACGCGACGCTGCGTCTTCGATCGCCGAGGGGGAAAAATAAAGCAGATAGAAATATGCATAAATGAGACACCATTAAACCGCGGGCGGCTGGTGGTGGTGCGAGTATCGGCTGGGAGGAGGTCCGGCGTCCGACTTGTTACGCCGCAGGCTAAACATGCGCTTTATGCCCGTCGGCTCCTGCTCCGGCTCCTGCTCCTGCTCTGAATCGTAATGTTGCTGGTTCTGGTAATGCTGCTGCTGCTGCTGCTGCTGGTAGTGCTGCCGCTGCTGCGGTTGAGCCTGCTGCTGAGCCTGCTGCTTATGCTGCGGCTGGCCCTGCTGCTCGCTGCCCTGGACCGACGAGCCGTCGGCGTAGTCGTACCACAGGCGGGGCACGACGAGCCTGTACGGGACCGTGATGCCGGCAGGGTCCTTTGCGTTGACCTCGACGTTGAGCGTCACCTCGAGCGCGTCCTCGAGGTTGACGTCGAGGTAGGCACCGCGCCGCGCCTGCTTGGCCGTCATGTTTGTCGGCGCCCGGTGCAGCGGCTTGGGGCGGAAGTAGTCGAGCGACTCGCGGCCCGTCGGGCTGTGGATGCTGGCGGGGCCCGCAGACGTGCCGGGCGGCGACGTGACCGAGGATGCACGGCCGGGGACGAGCGGCTGGCCAATGGGCGGCGGAGGGAAAGGGGGAGGGTGTGGAGCGGCGGCGGGGGTCTGGTTGTAATGGGGAGCAGACGGGGCTGGGCCTGGCCAAGGCACCTGTGCGCCGGGGGCTGGTCCACGGCTAGTCGCGGGTCTCCCAAAGCCAGCAGGGGCGCGCACAGGCGGCGGATAGCGGCGGTCGCCCTCCTCCGACTCGGAGTCATTGGCGCCATAGCTGTAGCCGCCATAGCCTTGGTCAGCCCGGCCACCACCCATACCCTGCTGCTGCGGTGGGGGCCGCTGCGGCGGTAGCGTGGTAAAGTAGGACTCGTCGCCCTCGGCAAACTCGTCGTAGCTGTGGTTGAACTGGCTGTTGCCCATGGCCCGGCCGCCGCTGCCGCCACGAAGCCCAAGCTTGCGCGCGGCGGCTGGCGGCATCTCATCCTGGTAGTACTCGCCCTCGCTCTCGTAGCCCCAGCTGCCATTGATGCCACCGTCGTCGGGCCCCTTCCCCTTAACGTCTGGGGAATGGAGCGGCTCCTGCTTCCTGCCACGCCCACTAAGCCGCCGAAAGAGGCCCCCGAGTCCGCCACCGCCGGTAGCAGTGGCAGGGCGATTATCCGGAAAGTCTGCTCGGTTCAGGGACATGGTGCGGCCAACGCCGGGACGCTGAGGCGCAGAGCCTACATCGTCGGCGGAAGCGCGTCCCTTGCGAGAGAAGGTGCGGAAGAGACCGCCTCCTCCAGCCACAGGTGGCCGCGACACGTCGGGCTGGTACGACGGCCCGCGCTTCTTGGACAAGCGGCGCATGATGCCGCCCTTTGGCTTCCCTGACGCGAACGTGTTGACAGAGCCCTGGTCAAAGGCAGACGTGCCGCCCGGGGAGGATGGCGGGGTGCTGCCGGGCACGTACAGGCGGATGGAGCACCAGTTGCGGTGGGGGAGCAGCCTCTTGTTGTTGCGCGGCTTGCCATCGACGCCGTGGCCGAACAGCGGGATCATGTCCTCGTACGTCTCCTTCTTCTCGCCGGCGCCGTTGTCGAAGACGTGCACCTTGTTGCGCTTGTTGAGCACGTCGGCCAGCATGTCTGGCGGCGGCGTGTTCACGATGGCGGACGAGATGACGTTGGGCATGTAGCGGAAGTCCTTGTGCTTGGGCATGTTGAGCTTGGGGTTGGAGTAGAACTGGCCCACGGCGGCAAGGTGTACATCGCCGCTCAGCAGTGTGACGCGGACGGACCGGTCGGCCGCCAGGTCCTGCAGGTCCTCGATGACGAGCTTGCGCTCCTTCTTGTGGTGCTTGGCCGTCCAGTGGTCGTCGAGGTCGTCGAGCACCTCGACGCCGCCGTCAAACTTGTTGATCAGACCGCCCATCATGCCCATCTTGGCGAGAGCCTTGACGGGTTCGAAGAGTCGCGAGGTGAGTCTAGAGGGAGGGGTTGGTTGGTTAGTTGCAGGGTTTTCAAGGGGATACGAAAGGAGCAAATACAAGAGAGAGAAAAAACATACATGTTCTCCAGCCACACGAGGCGCGGGTACGCAATGGGCACGCCCAGCAGCACCAGCAGGTGCTTGGTCTTGCCCTTGACGACCTCGTCGTAGCAGCGGTCCATGAGCTTCTGCCACGAATCTTCGGTCAGGACTTCGTCTCGCGTGCGCTCGGTGCGGCAGTCGACGGCCAGCAAGGCGAGGCCACCTCCAAGCGACATGAAAAGGCTGCGGCTGAGCTCGGCGATGTAGGGGCCCGGGTGTAGGCCCAGGGCCCAGCTGGGCTCCGAGGCCTCGGTCTCGGCCGGCACACTCTGATGCTGGAACAACATGTAGTACTTGAAGGCGACGTTGCCCAGGCCCGAGAAAACGGGGGAGCTCATGAAGTGGTGCGGGTACGAGCCAAAGCCGTCGATGATGTCGTGGTCATCGTACATGTTGACCATGGGGATCTGCGAGTTGGCCATGCCGAAGAGGCCCTGGGAGAACCACATGCAGTAGCGCTCCAGGTAGTAGCTCTCGAGCTCTTCCTGCAGCTCGGGCGTGAAGGGCGCGTTGTGCTTATGCACCGGGTTACGGATGGCCAGCCACTCCTTGAATATGGTGGTCTGGTGCATGACGGCGTCGTTGTAGATCTGGTCGCCGCCCCCGACCATGACGTGGAAGGGCCGCGTCTGGTGCGTGTTGAGCACGTCGCGCCACATGGGGTCGGGGCCGCTGAGATTGTCGGGCGTCACGCTCAGGCTGAAGCCGTTGCAGCTGTGGAACATGACGTTCATGGACTCGCCGCGCGCCGGGACCCAGAAGCCCGTCGACGGCCCGCGGTTGATGCGGTACGCGATGCGCTGCTGCGTGTCGAGGAGCTGTACCTCGATGTTGAAGCGCCAGAACGTGAGCCCGCGCTCCGCGTGCAGCCGGAAGCCCCGCACATCCTTGTGCTTGTCCAGCTTCTCGCCGTCCTTCTGCGTCCGCTGCAACCTGCTGGCGAACGAGCCCGGCAGCTCCGTCACGCCCGGCTCGAGCGGGACGTCAGGCGGGCTGCGCACCTTCTCGAACAGGCCGTCGTCCGTTTCGATCCGCGAGAGATCCTTAGCCTCCTCGAGGTGATCGATCGGACGCACGTAGAGAGTCTCGCCCTTGCGGCCCAACACGGGGTGGCCCGCGATGGGGTCAACATACTCGGGCGCCAAAACCTGACCGCCCGGAAGCTCCGCTGGCGGCGGCGGCAGCAACTCGATCGGTTGCGCGAACAAGCGCAGCGTCGGAGCGATCTCGTACGACGAGTCGTCATCACGCGTAACGATCATGACGCTGCCGCGCCAGGTCTCCCTGTCGGGCATGGCGGCGCCGCCCTTTGCTGACCGAGCGGGCACGCGCTCCGTTCGCATGCCGCAGTATCGGAGCAGGGGGCCACACTCCAGGTACAAAGGAGGCTTGAAGCGTGTTGGCGCGCCCGTCTGGTCGTACTCGCCGTCAAACGCCTCGGCCTTGGGCGCCCGCGACGCGGTGCTCGACGCGCGACGTCTTGATGGCGGCGTCTCCCACCAGGCCTGAGCCTTATCCGAGACAGGCTCTTGTGGCGTCTCGGTCAGATCCAGTAGCGATCCGGACAGCGTGCCGATGGTCGCCTTGGCCCACTCATCCAGGTATTCGGTCGGCTTGAACCAGCCCTGGCCGGGAGCAAACCTTTGACGCGTGCTGAATATAAGGTTGGAGAAGTGGTGGCCATCACCACTAGACTCGGATTCGACATCATCGTCGTGGTCGTCGTAGTCGTCGCGGTCGTCATCGGGGTATTGGTCTCGCTTTCCGACGGGACCAGAGCTGGCCCTCGCGGCGCCCGCTGCATACATGGTTCCGGCGCCGGCGCCGGCCAATGCGCCAGCGCCGGCCGCAGCACCGGCGCCGAAGCCCCGTGAGCCGGTATTGCTCCTCCCAGAAGATGCTGGAGACATGTACTGTCCCTGCGGCGGATATGACGGCGAATCCATGTCCTCAGGGTTCCTCCTCCGCTGGACAGGGGCCCGCGTCACCTCAGCCGCCGGGGCGAGCCCAACCGGAGGTGCTCCCCTGGGCCCAGCCGCCGGCACCCTGCTACCAGGTGGGAACGATGGGCTCCTCTGATCTGTGGGAGGTCCAGGGGCCACGGGGAGGTTGTCCGGAGGTGTGGGAGGCGCGTTGATGCGCACCGACGGGCCAGCCAGTGCGGGGTCTTGCTCAAACCTTGGCGGCGGCCCGTCCCGCACATGAGGCCTTGGAGGAGCATATGTCGGCTCGGGGGGTATTGATGGCGCTACGGGTGCTGGTGCTGGTGCTGGTGCCGGTGCCGGCGCCGGTGCATCGTTTCGAGGCGGCCGCCAGTCCGGCGGTGGTGGTTTACGCAGCTTGTTACTGACACTCCTGACCAAAGGTGCTCCTGGTGGCTTCTGAGATCCGGCCACGGGTGACCGCGCGTCGGGCTCTGGCAGGCCCAGGTCGGCCCTCTTCGCAGTTCGCTCACGGAAGCTCAAGTTCCGCTGTGGGATTCCCGACGAGTTTGCGCTCGCGGGCCCGGCCATCCTCGCGTCAGGTGTTGGATCCGTCACGACGGGCTTCTGGGGCAGTGCCCCGCTGTACCGTTTGCCATCATCGGGCGGGTTCTGTGTTAATGGGCCTGGGTGAGAGGGCAGAGCTTCCTGCTGCTGAAGCGGCGGCGGCGGCAACGGTGGCTGCCGCTGCGGCCTCTGGTTGGCTACGACGGGGTCAGGGACGCTTCGCCGGCGTCCTGGGCTGATGGGTGCCGGTAGTTCCGTGTCGCGGCTCACCTCGGCGGCAGCCCCGAGAGCTCTCCTGCGGGCGCGCTCCTCGGCGGCGGCGACGCGGGCGCGCTTCTCCTCCTTGGTGATGCTATCGAGCGTCAGCTCAAGCCTCTGAAGCGGAGAGCGGTCATTTGCAAACTTTTTGCGCGCGGCAGCGTCTGGCGGAGCCGTGCCGTTGGTGTCAACCTTGACGATGGGTCGTTGGTACGCAGCATTGGGGTCCAGGCCACGCGGGGTGACCTGCCGCCCTGGCTCTGGGGTGCGACCAGTATGCTGCCTGAAGAACTCCTCGGGATCCATCCTGGAGTTGACGCTGCCTGAGCGCTGTGGCGACGCGCCCGGGACTGGCGAGAGTGGATCGCGGTAGCTCGACGGCGGCCCCTTGGGCACTTCTGGGGCTGCGGGCATGAATAGCTCGGGCGCAGCTTCGGCGTCGAGCTCTTCTTGCGGGTGGTTGCTGCGACGCCTCTGCTGTCTCTCGGCCACGTCTGGGGCCTGATATGTTTCGGGGGCGTAGGGAGCCGTGGGAGCGTAGGGGGACGAGGGCGGTCGCGGGGCCAGGCCGCCGGGTAGGAAGCTGGAGCGGGTTGGCGTAGCGTAGGGGCTCTGGGTAGACTCGGTCGGGGCGTCGGCGCTCGAGGCGGTCTGGACCGAGATTCGCTCAGGCCTGGCAGCGGCAGCCATGTGAGGAGGAAGGGCGGCGGCGGCGCCGTCGACCGACACTCGGCGGTTGTGCGACGGCGGCGGGTCTGCTGTGTGCTGGACTGGTAGCTTTGGGCCGGGTAAGGTGCCCCAGTATGGCGCGGGCGCGGGAGCTGGGCGCGGCTGTGACTGGGACGACATGATCGGCGGCGGCGGCGGTCTGGGCTTGAGACGACGCGGGCGTTATCTAGTCTAGCACGCGTATGCGGCTGGGGCTCTCGATCATAGCGGTATGGGCAGACTAGCAGCTGAAAGAATGAAGACCAAGAAAGATGGCGCCGTCGGTAGGGCAGAAAAAAAAACTAGGAGGCGGGTGGGCTGAGAAGCAAAAAGCAGCAGCAGCAGCAGCACACGAGGAGGGGCGGATGCAGCAGCACGCAAGCCCAATACGTCGAGGTTGCTCAACAGAGCTAGGATAGCAGCTAGCTGCAGCTAGGCGCGACGGGGACACCGGACTGGGCGCCAATGGCAGTTCCAAGGACGCAGGCGGTGCGAGGAGTCGGGGGACGGGCGAATAGAGATCAAGAGGAGCCCGTCTCGTGCATGCTGCCCGACTTTTGATAGCGTGCCAATGCAGAACAGGATACAGGACAGCAGCTTTACAGATAACAATGGGATCGGGATGCGAGAAGCAGCTGGAAAATAGCACAAGGCTGGGGACGGAAGGGCGAGGCGAGCACAAGGACAAGGAAGGACAAGCAAGGACAAGGACAAGGACAAGGCCGGGTCAGGGATTCAGAGTGCGGGCAGGGAAGGCGGCCAGATCAGAATTAATTCGAGAGGTTGACGCGCGATCCGGCGCGACGGCCTTGGAGCCTCTGGAGCCCTGGAGCCTTGGCCCTGGCACCGACTTTGCGGGAGGGGAGCACTTGGAGGGGAGCACTGGCAGGGGTCCAGCCAGTCGGACAGCGCCAATCGTGTCGCTGTCCCATGCACATCGGTTGGGTCCCAATCATGGACAGCAAATCATGGGCAGCAAATCACTGGCGCCAGGCCAGCCTCCACCCCCTCTGGTGACCCGAAGCCGGCAGCCCAGCCGCCGACCAAGCCGCTGTGGTGCGTGGGACAGAGGGAGGTTCCTAGCTAGAGCTAAGTTGCCAGCCATGTGGTTCACGATGGCGTCTTTATATAGAAGTAGGGTAGTAAGTATTGATGGACACAACACACAGTCTGCCCATCATCTACTACAAGATTATATCAACGCACACTTGAACGCGACAACCACGCCCAAACGCGTCCCCTAGTCCAAACAGCTGATAGATGTCAGCGCCCGTGACAGCATCGCCGACGGGGAACATCCCAGAAACAGAAAATTCGGTGGCTGGGCCGTGACGGGTTGCAGCCCGGGCCAAGGCCAAGCCACATCGGCTCGGCTCCATTTCTGTGCAGCAGACGCAGGACACAAAATGCACGAACACGAATACTGAACAAAACCAAGACTGCCCCATCACCAGCGCCAACCAGCACGCCACGTCCGCTGCAGGAAGCCCACATTGTTCCTTGCTGCGTACCGCACATGCGTGCCGTTACACCCATCCCATGCGAGCCGCCCACGCCCTCGATCGAGACGAGACACAGAGGCCGTGAGAGTGCCCCCCTGATCAGGTCCGACAACGGTTGTTATTGTTGTTTTCGTGATGCGGCCCCTGCTTCGTCCCGTCTCGGCCGCTAGCTCTAGGCCTCGCTCACCCTTTCCTCTTTTCCATGGTTGCATAGATCCAGCTTCGAGAAGGATGGTGGGGGAGGAGACGAGGGAGGACCCGAGGGAGGACCCGAGGGAGGACCCGAGGCCTAACATCCAACTGTACGTACAACAAACGCACAACATACGTTACGGCATTTACACATCAACTGTACGGCGGTCCCCTGTTAGGTAATGTCGCCGTGAACAACCTCGGCCTCGGAAACCACAGCCACCCCCGCGTGTGCGTCTCCAAGAAAGAATGTGACCAAAGCTTGAACTCTAGAGGCCTGATGAGTCTCCGAGTGGAGCATCTGCAACAAGAAATAGAAACGGCACATCAAAATCAGGGACTGCGTCCTGAATCGCAGCAAACAAACAACAAGGTCCGACCACATCGCGCGCAATGCATCCGCCATCAGAGTTAGAGTTGGGACGCGGCCTGATTAGATTGCTGCCTGCCTGCATGCATGTCTGCGCAGTATCCATGACTTACTGTTGTCAGTGGCTAAGGTTTTCGTTGCCGCTGAAGGCTGTGCAAAAAGTGCGAGGCTGTGGAGGCTGACGCGCAGACCTCGTCGGCGATAAGCAGGCGCTGGCAGGCCATTGAAGCGCTGGCTGGTGCTGATCTAAAATATTTCCCCATGAAGGAGCGCCCAGGAGGCATGAATGGGCTTCTGGAGGCTTGACCACTGATCCATTTTTGGCACCTCGCGCCTTTGTCAGGTGGGGCCTGATGCTGACCGCACTGTGGGTGCCCACCACATCTGGCCTGCCCGAGACAGTGCCAGGCCGCATTGCGAGCTCGCACAAAGGGGCTCCGCCTCTGCTAGGAACACCGCAGTCTGGTCCAAGCCATCCTGGCACCCGCGACCCGTGCAAGGGAGCCGGCAGACTTTTGGAGCGTCACCAAATGCCAGAAAAGGTCGAGGTACGAGGTACATAGAAAACACCGGGCTGTCAATCCGCCGCGTGTCCGGTCCCAGCGATAATGGTGACGGACTGCGAAAAGTTGTTTTTGCGAGAGTGACGACTCTCCAACGCAATTCCGAGAAGAAAACGGGATTTCATCTGCTCCTGGCGTGCAAATCAGCGTGTCAGACGGGTGCTTATTTTCTCATGTACAAGGCGCCGGCAGGGATTAGACCTGACGAGGCGGCAAGGACACCTCTCCACACACGCACTAGTCTGGAGCCAGTCTGGAGCCCCTCTGGCACTGCCTCCGTGTCCGTTCCGTCTGGCCTTCCAAACCGCTGAAACAGGACCGCAGAGAGTCCCTGCGCCAGGCACGACGGACAGGTACCGGTGCTATTTCCGTGCCCCATTGCGGCTTCTTTTGTCTTTCTGGCCTCTCCAACTCTTCTAGACCAAAACGCCCGCTTGTCCTGTCTTGATTTTTCTTCCTTTCTGCCTTTTGCCTTTTCTTATTGTGGCTTCTCTATTCACCTACCAGTCGGGCCCGTGGTTTGTTCTCTTCAGCTTCCATCTCCCGCCAGCTCCAGCTCCTAGATTCGCCCTCCCCGGCTCACCCTCCTCGACCCATCTCACAAAGCACCCGCGGCTTGGTTCCGGCGCGCCTGCCCCGTTCGTCTTCTGCCGGTGCCGCTCGTCCTCTGATGCTGTCGAGCCGCTAGGCACCTACCCAAACTCTCTACCTCTACTTGTCGCCCTCCCCCGATAGCGATCCGCGGCCCGAGGCCACGTCGCAAACCAGCCCCCTTTCACCATGAAGTTCGCCCACGGCGCTGCCCTCCTGGGCGTCGCGGCGCTTGCTTCTGCCTCGACCCCATCGAGTCTTGCACCACGGAATTACGACGCCAACGACTACTACGTTCTCCACGTCGCCCGTGATACCTCGCCCAAGGCCGTCGCCAGGGAGCTCGGCCTGAACCACGAGGGCCAGCTCGGAGAGCTCAACGACCATCACATCTTCTCGGGCACCAAGACACCCCATGATATAGTAAAGAGGGAGGTGCGGGTCCAGCGCCTCAGGAAACGGGGCGAGTCGGTCCTCGATGGCGTCCTTTTCTCCGAGAAGCAGGCCCTGCGCAAGCCCTGGGAGAAGCGTCTGCCGCTTGGCCCAAGATTTGGACCGCACCCACCAAGAGACGATAGCAAGCCCGACCCGGCAGTTGTGGCCAAGCAAAAATCCGTCGCCAACGCGCTGAGCATCTTCGATCCCATATTCCACGAACAGTGGCACTTGCTCAACCCTCTACAGGTTGGTCATGATGTCAACGTCACCGACGTGTGGCTGCAGGGCATCACGGGCAAGAACAGCATCGTGTCCATCGTCGACGACGGCCTCGACATGGACAGCAACGACCTGAAGGACAACTACTACGCCAAGGGCTCCTACGACTTCAACGACAAGCACCCCGACCCGAAGCCCAGGCTGTCTGATGACAGACATGGTACCCGTTGCGCCGGCGAGGTTGCCGCCGTCCGCAACGACGTGTGCGGCGTCGGTGTCGCCTACGATGCCAAGGTCTCGGGCATCCGCATTCTCAGCAAGCTCATCAGTGACGCTGACGAGGCCGTTGCCCTAAACTTTGACTTCCACAACAACCACATCTACTCGTGCTCCTGGGGCCCGCCCGATGATGGCGTCAGCATGGACGCCCCCGGCATCCTGATTCGCCGTGCTATGCTCAACGCCATCCAGAACGGCCGTAACGGAAAGGGATCCGTTTACGTCTTCGCCAGTGGCAACGGCGCCATGTCTGGTGACAACTGCAACTTTGACGGCTACACCAACAGTATCTACAGCATCACTGTTGGTGCCATTGACAGGACCGGCACCCACCCGTACTACTCCGAGTCGTGCTCCGCCAACCTTGTTGTCACATACTCAAGCGGCTCTGGAGACGCCATTGTAAGTTTTGCTCGAGTCTGATGCTCCGCCAAGCTTTTACGAATCAATGCTTACACCTCGCCCCTTTTTTTCAGCACACTACCGACGTGGGCGCAGCCAAGTGTTACAACCAGCACGGTGGTACCTCGGCAGCCGCTCCGCTAGCGGCCGGTATTTTCGCCCTTGTCCTCCAGGTCCGAAACGATCTCACCTGGAGAGATATGCAGTACCTCGCCCTCCTGAGCGCTGTTCCCGTCAACCTGGACTCGGGCGACTGGCAGGACACTCCCATCGGTAAAAAGTTCAGTCACATGTATGGCTACGGCAAGGTGGACAGCTGGGGTGTTGTCGAGCTCGCCAAGACATGGAAGCTTGTCAAGCCGCAGGCCTGGTACTTCTCGCCCTGGATCCACGTCAAGCAGGCCATCCCGCAGGGCGACAAGGGCCTGGCGGTCAAGTTTGAAGTCACAAAGGAAATGCTCGACAAGGCCAACCTCGAGAGGCTAGAGCATATCACCGTCACCATGAACGTGGAGCATACGCGCCGAGGCGACTTGAACGTTGACCTCATCAGCCCTAGCAAGGTCGTCAGCCACCTCTCGGTCACTCGTGACCGGGACAACACCAGGGCCGGCTACAAGGACTGGACCTTCATGAGCGTTGCCCACTGGGGCGAGTCCGGAGTTGGAACCTGGACCATCGTCATCAAGGACAGCAAGGTCAACGAGCACGAGGGCAACTTCACCGACTGGCACCTGAAGCTCTGGGGTGAGGCCAAGGATGCCTCCAAGGCAATCCAGCTGCCCATGCCCCAGCAGAACGACGATGAGGACCACGACAAGCCCGAGATCACCACTCTTCCCGCCCACACCACCACTCTGCCGGCGGACGTTCCCCCCACCAAGGCCCCCGCAGTCCCGACCGAGTCCATGCCCGACCGCCCCGTCAAGAGCAAGTCGTTCTCGACGCACGCCAGCGCCAGCGACCCGACAGGAGCGCCAGGGCCCAACACGACCGAGACACCTGCCGCCCAGAGCAGCAGCTCCTGGCTGCCGTCCTTCCTGCCCACCTTTGGCGTGTCGTCGAGGACGCAGGCCTGGATCTACGGCGCCGTCGGTCTCATCGTTGCCTTCTGCTGCGGCCTGGGCGTCTACCTCTTCGTCGCCCGCCGTCGCCGCCTCCGGAACAGCCCGCGCGATAACTACGAGTTTGAGCTCCTCAACGAGCAGGAGGCCGAGAACCTCAACGGCGGCGAGAAGGGCTTCGCGGCCGGCAAGAAGGGCCGCAAGACGCGCGGCGGTGAGCTGTACGACGCCTTTGCCGGCGGCAGCGAGGACGAGGAGGACTTTGTCGAGGGGCAGTACCGGGACCGCGACGACAGCGGCCCGGCCAGCGGCCAGGCCAAGGGGAAGCGCAACGCCGACTCCGCCGTGGATGATGACCTCCATCACGTGATTGGCGATGAGTCGGACTCGGAGTCTGAGTCGGACGAGAAGGCGGCCTCCAAGGCCCGCAGGTGAATGGACTTGGGCAGAGGCGGTGGCCGAGAGGCGTCTTGAGTGATATTTTTCCCTTTGCTAATCTACTACATAAAAGCAAACCATGTGATCTGGACCTTGAATGCAGCTCGCATGTCGTGGAGACGACTTGGCCGCTGCTGCGACGTCACCATCACCCACTCTCACTCTCACCCGCATATGTTCATGAACCCACCCTGATATAATTCACGTGTACTCTCCTCCTCCCACATCTTGTACCGCTTGGTCGTGTCTACTTCTTTCCTTTTATCATCATCCCGCTAGACAGCATCGACATCATGTTTGCATCTGATAGTGCATCCTGGGCGGATGGGTGGCTCTTTTTATTTTATTCTTCATACTCGACTGGGGGCGTTTGGGAGGATTTGTTGTCATGTACTTACGAGGTTCTTTTCTTTGGAGTTTAGATACGAGAGAGAAAAACGAAGCTATTTCTATTGCCTTGCTGTGCCTATTGGACCACTCCCACAAAACGGTAGTCTTACACAGGAGGTCCCAAAGATTGAGTGAAATTCCTAGTGCCGTAAGCTGTCCTATTCTTAGTTTCGTTTTTATTTTCCTTTTATCATTCCTATTGCTATTCCTGTTTTTATTCATATTTTCTTTTTCTTCCATTTTTAGGTCCGTACTCACTCATGTTCCTATTCCGTAAAGGAATTGCCTTTTTTTTGTTTTTTTTTGGTGGTGGGGACGCTGGTTCGAGAAATCATTTGGCGTGTCCTGGTGAACTTCTCCAAGGAGCAAACATCAGACGCTCGCATTCAACACGGTAGGTAATATTACTATTGACAAGAATCTCTGTGCTTTCCCCTTTATTTTGTTCTTTTTTCTTTCTTGACGAGATAAAAACTCGTGACGGAGACTGGATACGTAAGAATGAAGCGCCCTCGTCCGCAAGCCCATTATCAACCAGGCAGTAAGGGGGTATGAGTGTATCGAAGATGAAGAACGGCCAACAAAACTAATAGAAAAACACCATTTCTCAACCAACCCAAACAAGACGGTAAAACGCGTAATGACGAGTGATGGAGGCGAATCAAGAAAAGAGTGGTAAACTGGTAATGCTAGAAAAAAAAAAAAGAAAAAAGAAACAGCCCGCTCATGGGGCAATGGCGCCATCCTTCTCCATCTCCCGAATATACCTCTCCCACACGTCGACGGTGGCGTCGTAAAAGTCCGTGTGCGACCGGGCCAGGGCGCCAAACTGGCGCTTGAGCTCGACGCGCTTGATGCGCTCAAAGTCGGCCACCTCCTTGACCACCTCCTCGTCAAACATCTCCGACGTGCGCTTGGCGCGCTCCACCTCGAGCGTCAGCTCGTCGATGCGCATCTCGAGCTTGCGCTGGCGCTCGCGGCGCGACAGCTCGTGGTCGACCCCCCTGACGTCCTCGATCTTGCTCCGGATGAAGCCGCCCGCGCCCGCGAGCGCGCCGCCGCCGCCCGAGCCGTAGCCGCCCGAGGCCAGCACGTCGCGGTCGGCGCGGCTCTTGTTGAGGTACTCGGTCAGCTGCTCAAAGTCGAGCTGCTTCTGCTCGCGCGCCTTGAGCAGGTTCTTGAGCGCGCCGCTAAAGGCGGCTAGGTCGCGCAGGGAGCCCAGGTAGTCCCGCTCCGTGGCCTCGCGCAGCACGCGCAGGCCCGAGGCCGTGTCCTCGACCGAGGCGGCAAAGGCGCGCACGGCCGCCTCGACGCCCGGCTCGAGCACGATGAGCTTCTGGAACTGCTCGGCCAGGTCGCGCTGGTCCGCCTCGAGGTCCACCTCGCGCCGCGACACGCGCGCTACCAGCTTCTCCACGTGCGCCAGGTCCTCGTCCAACTTGTCGCTGCGCTCGCGCACCTCGATGAAGCGCCGGTCCGGCTTGTGCACCTTTGTGAAGGCGTTGATGAAGGTGTCGGCAAAGTTGTCGAAGACGCTGTTGGCCACGCTATTGTTGGCCGTCCCACCACCGCCGCTGGGATCGGGCGAGCCGGGGCCGAGGCTAGAGTCGCCGCCGCCGCCGCTGCCCATCGAGACGCTCCGGCTGGCGCGCGACCGCATCGTGGCGTTCCAGTCCGGGCTTTCGAGGAAGGTGTGCAGGATGGCGCTGCGCCGCAGAATGGGGTGCAGCGCGCAGCGTGCGAGGAAGCGGCGCAGCGAGTGGGCGCGCCGGGCCGTAAAGTCGGCGCCGAAGCGGTCGCCGCGCACGTACTCCATGCGCTGCTTGTCCGGCAGCGGCGGCACGGCGCAGGCCGGGTAGTCCTTGGACAGCGTTTTGAAGAGGAAGACGAAATCTGTAAAGCGGCGGCGCACCGAGACTTGGTGCTTTTGGAACGATGGGAACGTTGTCTGGAGGAGAGACGAGTAGAGTAGACCCGTGTGGTAGGACATGCTGGTCAGAACAGAACAGAACAGAAACAGAACCGAAAACAGAGCTGGCCGCCCAAGCCAGAGACGCTTAGGGAGGGGAGGAAACAAACATTGGTTGTTATGAGGTACGACACAAACGCATCCTTGGTGCCGTCGTTCTCCTTGATCGGGGCCGAAACGGTGCACTCCAGCGTTTCGTCGCCGATGCCGTGGGCGTCGAGGCGGCTGTAGTTGGGCTCGGGCTCGCGTGGCGCGTGCCTCGTATCGGCGGCCTCCGAGTCCGAGGCGGCGCCGTCGTGGCTGCCGCCGCCGCCCGCCGGGTTCGCCGGGCCACCACCCATGGCGGCGTCTGGGTGGTCACTGTGCCACGAAATGTTAGAGAAGTTGTCTTGGTCGAGGCCCGCCATCTTGGGGGGCGCGGTCCGCCCTCGTGGAGAGGGGGATGCGGACCGTGTCTTGTGGTGGTGGTGGTGGTGCTGTTGGTGGTGCTGTTGTTGTCCGCTGTGGGGGATTTTGGCTCTTGCTTGGATGACGACGGGACGGACGGGGGTCTTGGCCTGGAGGGGCTGGCTCTTGCGGCGGGGACGATGTCGATATGCGGTGGGCCGCGTCGGGAACGGACTGGAACGCGCGGCTGGAAGGAGATGGACTCAATCAATGTATCTGGCAGTTGTGTTTCTCCAACAATCAGCTTAACTGATGTTGCGTCTAGCAAGCTCATGTGCTTCACAGACCGACGTCGATGCTCTGCGCCCCATGCTGACGTATTTCGGTCTAAAGTGGGGGGCAGCACCTGGAAGTTGGCGCTAGGTCCACCACAAAACGACCAGGCACCCACCATAAAACGACAGCCGTGCCACCCCTCCACGGCGTGGCATGAACAAGCCAAGTTCAACACAAAAGTTTCATTTCAATATCACCAGAATGTGCGGCCAGATGAGTAATTGCACAATTTTGCTACATCCTATTCTTAGTTTCTATAGGTCGTGGTGTTTGTTGAGTGTGATGGATGCTTCTTCCTCTTGATCTATAACCGAGGTCCCCCTTTCCCCGACTCCATGCAAGTGTTGGTTCCGTATACAATGACAAAGCCGCCCCTGACGACTGTAGTAAAGAGCAACGAAGAGATAAGAGATGTGAAAAGAGTGTGTGAAAAGTAAAAAAAAAGACAAAAAGACAAAAAGAAATGAGAGAATGTCTACTGCTCTGCCTCCCCGCTTGATTCCAACCCCGAATCCGGGATGGATGATGCGCTTTGGGCATCACACGCTGTAGAGTTTCGGTCTAGACTGGACATGATAAGAGGCGTAAACTGGTGCCTTTGCCCAAAGCCGAAACAACCCCGAATGAAAGGGATAAAGGGAAGAAGAAGAATGAATG